TTATTATTATTATTAAAGTTTCGATTCTACGGCTTGACGCGTTCAAGATTCAAGTTTTAACGAAGATACATACGGTTTTATACGTAAGCTTGCTTAAAGTAGCACAAGTAATAGCATAAGTAAGTCATTTTAGCTAAGTTACTAAAGTTATTAAAGTTATTAATATTATTAAGGTTTCGATTCTACAGCTTAGCGCACTTAAGTTTTAAGTTTTATTAAAAGTTTATTGTAGAAGCACCCAAAAAGATGTGCCGTATAGAAGCCTGGCTCTGAGGCTGGACCTTATGGTCTCACAAAAGAAGTGCCAAAAAGGATGGGTGGAAAGCTCGTTGATTATTCTAGCTAAGAGATGTGTGCCCTCTTATAGAAGATGGGTCCGTCTAGTGTGGCCCTAGTGGCCATGGCAGGTACCCCATCAGGCAGGGTGTTTACAGCAACTTTAAGCTAATACAAATATATAAAAGTAAGCTAGTAGACTCGCTTTGCGATGCGTGCGCCGTTGCTCGTTAAAAGTGTTAAGCATACTCTTTAGCCGGTAAAGCATAAATATTTAATTCTAAAGATGCGTATGCTCGCTATCGATAAAGTCTTAAGAAATGTATTACGTTTAAGAAGAGCTTACGTAAGAAACGTAAACCTCTTTCTTTTGCTCGAGACCTTTTTCTTTTTCTTTTTCCTTTTTTTTAAGTGTACTTTTAATAAATAAGTTAAAGATTCGAATTTAAACTCTTTTTAATACATATTTTTAAACTTAATAACTCTTATAAACTTTATAACTTTTATAACCTTTATAACTTTTATAACCTTTATAACTTTTATAACCTTTATAACTTTTATAACCTTTATAACCTTTATAACTTTTGTAACTTTTGTAACTTTTATAACTTTTATAACTTTTATAACTTTTGTAACTTTTATAACTTTTGTAACTTTTATAACTTTTATAACTTTTATAACTTTTATAACTTTTATAACTTTTATAACTTTTATAACTTTTATAACTTTTATAACTTTTATAACTTTTGTAACTTTTGTAACTTCTGTAACTTCTGTAACTTTTGTAACTTCTGATTTTTTCGTAATATAATTAAGTATATAATTATTGTCACTTACGGTGACCCAAGATAAATTCCAGTAGTTGTGGTGGTGGTTAGTCATCCAGTCACGTAAGACTATTCTATACGGATCTGGCAAGATTTCTGAGCGTGCCAAGACTTTTATTCTATGTTAATCCATTGGACTTTTTTCGGAACGAGTCGGCCCGTTTAATTCAAGTACAACAGCTAAGCTTAATTCAGCCACCGCTATTAATTCTGCTATACGTAACGCACGTAAGGCTGCTACACGTAACGCACGTCGCTGCCTTACAAAACGCACGTCGCTGCTATACGTAACCTACGTAAGGCTGCTATACGTACTTAACGCACGTCGCTGCCTTACGTAATACGTAAGGCAGCTAGGCTGCCACCC